GATTCTGAAGTTTATTATCGAAGGATAGGTATCTGGATCGGGCCAGATCTGAAACATAAGAAATATTATGGTCATTATGGATGGTTTTATTTGTAACAAAGTAGGGAGCATTGAGGATTTTACGAAGGATTTTGGATTGTAAGGAGGAATACGGGAGGAATTCGATGGTTTAGTGAAGCCCCATAGCTCAACTTCGTAAGTCCAAATAGGCCTTATTATAATCATGTATATGAGTCTTTTGTAAGTCGCAGCACATCTTTACTTTCATGTGGTTCTTTCTGAAGCGACGTTCTATAAAAGTAAGAGACGGCGAAGCAGTTTGAAGAAACATCGCACTCATCAGCGGAGTCTCCCAAGAGTCTGTGCCATCTCCAGAACTAATTTCAATATAAACTGCTGAATCGGTTGAGAAAAATAAAAGATAGCTACCGTAGCAGCATACGCTGATTATATTGTTATCTACAGCATTAGTGGATCCAGGATTTAATATTGGGGAAGGGAGGGCTTCAGCCCGAAAGCCTTTTTTTTTTTTTTAAATTACGATAATTACTTTGGAATTAAAGAAAGAGACTAACCACCTATACGAAATGGTCTTTAGGAATTCCTAAAGTCCTTTTCAATGTAATTACACGAACATTTTTAAGAGTAATACACTTTAAGAGTTCATTTTTTACCAATAAAATAAACATGGTTATATTTAAAAATTTGGGGGAGGGGAGGCTTCAGCCCTAAAGACGTAAAGACTCCTCGTAGATCCGCCCGTGATCTACAGTAGCTCAATCAGCGCGGTGAAACCTCTACCCCATGCGGGGAAGACCTGTGAGCCAATCATCATCAAACTGAAATGGATAAAGATTACAGTCGATCCCAATAATACTGCATTATTTTCTCCTTTTAGCAGAATATCCACCCTCTCCTTAAAGTTTATAAGGTATTGTCCTCGACCCACTTCTGCTTTTAACAACACATCCCATTGGACAAAAAAAAAAAAAAAAAAAAAAAAAAAAAAAAAAAAAAAAAAAAAAAAAAAAAAAACTATAGTAAATAAATCAAAATTGATAAGTTAAATACCTTTTTCAAAGATAAATTTTAATTCATGGTTAAATAAACACCCATTAACAACTTCATAAGTATAAAAATCACACAAAATATACGGAAAAATAATTATGCCTGCTATTCTATAATCATTACTAGCCATTTTCTTAGGAAAACAAACTGCTTATTTTTCTAGATAAGGAAATACAGTGTTGTTTATTTAGAATCGTTACAAAAAATTAAATCTTAGTATTACTTAACTTATCTGTTGTATTATTAACGTGCTCTTCTGAAAACAGTAAATAGACAATTAGTTTCACCTATAAAAGATTCCATGGCTATTTAAAAACATTCTACAGTCCATAAAAATATTAAACAATGTATATTTCTTAAGCGATTTACCTGACACTATGAATGTAATTTACCAAGATATAGCCTGCTTATTACTGTTTTCGTTTCAAACAATAAAGAGATGTACGTGCTCTGAATTCGCCGAAATTAGGTTTAGTAGATAATGATGCCCCTTGTTTAAATTATGCTCCGGTTTCATGGCGTAACTTTGTGTATAATTAGCTTAATCCAAACAATAATTATTCATAATTGGTTATGCAAACTAAATCAAACTTGCAGCAGCTAAATAAATAGTACATTTAAATAGACAAGATTTGACAATAGATAAAATATTTATATTATATTATTTGATTATTAAATGAAAGTTCGTAATTTTATATGACAGATAATATAGAATATTAGGAATAATAAAATAATGAAAGTTGTCATTAGAGAATTAGAAAAAAAACACAACTAAGTTGTGTGCTTTAGACCAAACGATTGAAGTGAAAACATCAACAGGGCGAGATAAATAATATGAAATATAAATAATTTTTTAAAAACTTTTTTTATTGAGACAAAATCCATTTTTCCTCAATTAAGGGCATTCAGTATTTGGGATGTTTGACACTCAATCATACCATACATACAATAAAACAAAAACATCAGAAAATTATAAATAATAGCTCATTATGAAGAGGATGTAATTCACATTTACCTCGCTTACAGCATGCAGGTCCGATTTTTAGTTACTGAAATATTTTAATTCATATGCCAAAAAAAAATTCAATTAGTCAACTCCAGCCGACTTTCCCCAAGCGTTAAGGGCCAATATTGTTATGCATATGGAGTTTCCTCAATATATTGACCGTGTAAGGGCTATATTGGCATCAATTATATTGACGTTAATCAAAATGGTTATCACATTTTTTAAAATTATATTGAAGCTTCTTCAATATTATTGAAACAGTGCCAGCCACAGTGTTAACAGTTGTAACCACCTCCTCCTCGAAATTTTATTTGAAACGATAAAAAGGATATATGTTTGAGTATGTGGGTGATAATTTGTTTTAATTTTGTTATTGTTTTGAGAGGGGAGTGTTTAACTTCCCTCCTCCGAACTTTTTGTTTTAGAAAGAATGGATATATTTTTGGGTAGATGGGTGATAATTTGTTTTACTTTTATTATTTTTTTGGGAGGGGAGGTTGTTTAACAGCTCCCCTCCGATTTTTTTTTACAGATGAAATGGATATATGTTTGGATAGGTGGGTGATCCTTTTACCATTTTAGTAATGCTAAAGCCAATGTAATAGGAAATTCATTATTATTCATTTCCACAAAAAAGAAAAATCACCTCTTTGGAAACCTCCTTCTTTAGTAGAAGCAAGATATTAACTGATGTAATACTGACTCAGTATAATTGACCCGTGTGAAGTATCTCTTCAATATATTGCCTTCAATTATAGTGCTTAAATTACATTGGTTCAATAAGCGTAATGGCTCTTTACACATCGGATATCTGACGGCTCAATCTAGTTCACTCTCCACTACAAAAAGTGCAAAACGCGCTTAAAGAAGTTCACGCTTAAAGAAAAAAATCTCAAATCTCAGAAGTTAAACTTTTATGTTCACACTAGAGCGATAAGCTACACATATTCAGGCATACGCAACTCACGACAGTTATCTTAAAATCGCTGCAAATTATTTTACAATGGTTTATTATTTCCAAATAATTATACATCTAAAGCAACATTACCTTCCTAGTTACAAAGAAAACAAATAAAAGGTGATTCCGATTATTGGACTAAACTTTTTTTTTTAATGATTAGTAATATTCTAAAAAATAGCATTACTTTATTAACACATTCAAAATTTAAAAACCAAACAAAGGCTATAACATTTGGAGTAGAACATATAAACAAAAATCGGAGACCATATCTTTGCTCCTAATTGTCCGATTTTAACCATTTTTTTTTTGTTGTTTTTTAGGAAACTTCGTAAACTTTTAAAAAATCATATACAATATCAACATAAAAGTAAAAATTAGGAGGTTTAGGAGCTACAGTGTATAGCAACACAGGTTTTTCGGCCGCCATTTTGAAAGTAAAAGACGGATATTAATATCGATGAACAGCCTTAGCACATCACAGTATAAAACTACAGCATAAATTTAACTTTAACAAACCACAGATAATAGGCACAGAACTAAAAAACACCAATAAAAAATTACTTGAAGCAATACACATTACAAAAAACAACAGTCAACTACAAAACAGACACTAAACATTTAGGAACCCATTATTCGGACATATTGAACAAAATTAAAATTTGATAGAAGTGAAATCACAGACACATAAAATAAACACTAACAACAACAATAAAAATAGATAGATAAAACAGTCAGATTCAAAGGTCAATTTTTCACTATGGCAGAAACCCAATTATTGGTCAAAAGGAGGATGTTGCTCCAGATGATAAATTTTAGAACATAAATTAGAAAATTGACGATGGAGCACATTATTATTATTATTAAATTTAAGGTAATTACAAATTTATTGTAACAAACACAATTCAAATATGTAATGTAACAAGCACAATATTGTAACTTAAAAAAATGTTTAGCCTTGCATCCACAATAGTATTGGAATTGCAGTTCTGAAGATGGGAATAAATGTCCCGAAACGTCAATTAACCTGTTAGCATGTAACGTTGATAGTAAAATATACTCAATTGTTAACAACTGGAAGTTATTATTGCAAAACAACTAAAATAAATTGACAACTTCCCAGAAAAATGAATAAAAATGATTCTTCAATTTTTAACACGAATAACTAACTAAATAGGATTTTCTTCTATATACAATTCTCTCATAACATACACGATAAGATAATTTATACTTTTTTTTTTCTTATTCCTTGTATTGTTGTTTCTGACATATGGGTCAAGAATCATATCGTGGGTCCATCACGAAATAAATGTCAACCATCTGATTTTGTAAGGTCTATAAATTCTGTGGCGATCTTCCCTCATAGTCAAAAATCAAAGTGTACTAATAAGTAATTGTAACTAAAATTTCATGGACAAATCTTTGATTGATAAAATTGTCAGTGTTAAAGGTCTTGGCCAGATAAGCGGTTCAAATCGCTTGATACTAATGTCTTACGAAAATGTCGCTTAGAACTAGTATCTTATGATCAATGTAGCTTCAAACTAGTATGTTATGATAAATTTCGCTTCAAACTAGAATCTTACGATATATGTCGCTATCGCCTATTCAATTGGCCAGGGCGATACGGGTGTGTTTAAGACAATTACCGTATGATAGTAGATAACCTATCATGGTAACATAGTAAATAATTAAGGCGATTAATGTTTTCTCATGGATTACTCAAAAATGAACTAAGGATAATATGGAACAATTCGTTTTAAGAACATGATTTTTCTCTAACATAATTAATCTTTCATAATTGCTTAAAATGTGTCCTTCAGAACCAACTTTTGTCTCGGTTATTATTAATATTTATAAATTATTTATATATTATAAATTATAATATATATATATATATATATATATATATATTTTTTTTTTTTTTTAATATAAATGTTACATTAATGTTATTATATTAATTTACAGGTGAATACTCCACAGAAAACAACACTTCGCTATCCGCAGTTTGCTTCAGGTATCAACAACTTTATTTTATTAAACAAATTAAATGTTTTCATTAACAAATGTCATATCTTGCAATAAGAAAATTTTGTATTTAAGACTTTGTCATCCCGAAATGTATTTTCGTGGTAAGACAAGTTTGTATGTGCTAGCAGCATAATTAATTTGAGGTTTCGCCTTTTATGGAGTGTACGAAAAATCAAAAAGCCGAATTAAATAAATATAATTTGTTCCTGTTTTTTAACAAATTGATATAATAAATTTTTTCAACCTATTTGAGTTAAATTTAATAAAGGTTATTTATTTTAGAAGCAATTTTTTAATTTTAAATCATTGCACGTGTAGTTATAATTAAAAAAGACACAAATATGTTTTTTTACAGAAACAAAACCAGAATACAATTTTTTCAAAAACTTTTAAAACCTTTAAAAAAAAGTTTCTGATCATCTAATGATACATGAATTGCTAAAACCAACTTAAATAATGCAAAACTTGTTTGTTTACAGTGTAAACAAACAATTTTTGCATGTAAATTTTACACTACTACTTATACTTTTTTTTAAAGAGTTTTTGTCTTCTAGATTTTTAGTATCAAATGTAGTCCGTGATTCATACCCCCTTTTTATCAAATCATTAACACCCGGCTGCAACTGCGTAAATAGCTTCATCTCATTGTAACCTATAAATATTTTATTAACGAAAATTCTCGGAATTAAGGCGTTTTCAATCTGGAGGTCGGCAAACTTTTATCATTTAATTAGATAACAAAGTCGAGACAAAAGGTGGCCTTAAAAAATATTGAGGCGTTTGGCCTATATAACCTCGTTATTTTCACATTTTTGGGGTGTAGGTTACGCCGAACGGCTCAATAACATTGAAGGCCATCTTTTTTTTTTACTTTGTGCTGAAAGTTTAAATAAATGGAAAAAGTTTGCCAACCTTCAGATTGAAAACGTCCCAATTCCGAGAATTCTCGTAAATAAAACATTTGTAGTTTACGGTAAGACGAAGCTATTTATGAAGTTTCAGCCGGATGTTAATAATTTGATTAAAAGGGGTCGGTGCCACGGACTAATAGTTTTTCGCTATTTTTCTAAAAATATCACATATATCGTTTCTGAAATAAGCGATTTAAATATGTTAGAACAAATAACAGATCTTTACCAATAATATAAATGATATCAGTTAATGTTTAACATTCATTAAAATAAATATAAATGAAGTACCACGTAGCGTATTGTTAAGACTTTCTCAAACCAATTACTTTCAAAATTCGTCTGTAGTCAGGACTATTTCCCGATGTCAGTTTCTTTAATTTTCAACTGATGTCACTAAAATTCATTTGGAACTTAGATAACTTTGTTGTAAGTAACTCAATTTACCCAATTCTGTTAGTTAGACATAATCTGTATATGACATAAAATTTTCGTTATAAAATTTAAATTATTTCAACGTTTCATTTTTTTAATACAAAAGTTTATAAAAATCAATTATTTTTATTTGAGAAATGTTCGAATATAGTCAAAATATCAAGGCAATTTGCAATAAAGTGCTATTAACTACAATTTTTACAAAATTAATTCTATGTGCATCATAGGTATATGAAAACAAAATTATAATTTTATCAGATGAAGTCGAAATGGTTCCAATTAAAATACTCTCAATAAAAACGAACGAATCCGAGAGGGGCTTCAATTGAACTTTATTAAGTACCAACGATGTAAAAGTAATTTCACTTTTCAGATGAGAAAAACTCGAAAAATCGTCAAAAAGCCAATTTCAGACGTGAAGTAAAACAATTTCGCCGACTGGTTTGAAAATTCAATTAAAAAGCTTGCCAACTTCGCTTCTGGGCGGAATTGAATCACCTTATTCCATCTTTTTGATTTTCTTTTTCTCTAATTTAATTTTAAAAGTGTTTCTATCTTATCGTTTCTCCAGGTGATACCAAGTTAATTTGATGGTCAACCAATTTTGGGTTCTTTTGAATCGTATCGTGGTCAATTTTATTATTAAAATCAATTTCCATGATTACGATATTATCAGAATTTCGTTTTCTGTTGGAACAAATTAGTTATATCGTTTCAATGATGATAAATAATAAAAATGCTTACTTATATTTCCAAATACACTGAGGAGAACTTCTATACTTGTTTAGTAATTATATACGTCCGTGTAATTCCGGAAGAGGAATCTAGCCCAAGCTAAATTCCTCCCATTCCCAGGGTGTCCCGAAATTCCTTTGGACATGCAAATTTAAAGAATTACTACAAACAAAACATTATTAAGAAATTCTTTCGCAAGTTTAGAAAGTTTTCCCTTGCTTTGTTCAAAGTTTTGACTGATGTATGAATATTTAGATAAATTGATGTATTTTTTTTTCATATTTGTTTCTTTTAACTTCATTGTCATCTATCGTCTAAGAATAAAAAGTATTGTATCAACGTATCAACTGAAAGAGTATTAAATGGAGCAGTGACGAATTATAGTAACATCCATCCAAAATTTCAGGAAAAACGTTACGAATGAAAAGAAACTATATTTGCGTGTACGATATTGATTGGATCTATGATTATTTAACAAATTTTTAAATTACCTATTAAACGAAAAAAAAATTATCGAATTTGAAGCATTATTTACAAATATACAGCCTATAAGTATTGAACAGATGTTTGGGATTATTAGTTTGAATGAACTAATGTGATTCTAAAACAAAAAAGCAAATCATTTATTCTCTCTTGTAATACATATCATTGACTTATTTTTATATTATATAACAATATATTATATGATTCTATAACTAATATAGGATATAATACATAATATAATGTAATATATAATATAATATAACTTTTTTTTTTATTGAGTATTAATACAGTCTGCCACATAGATGGGCATTGGTACTAGGACTATAGTATTCATTCACATAAAAATATATATATAGATAAAAAGATAAAGTAATATATAGTATAACTAATGTATTATATTAGTTGTTCGCTGATCAATATTCAATGCGAGTCATTCGCATGGGCCAATTAGTTTAGATTAATTGTTGAATTTTTTTTTGGCATTTTTGTTTCTTTTAACAATTATTATTGTAATTAAAACATGCTGTATCCAATCCTGAGAATGAAAAATATATGAAATTCTGTTAAGAGGAGAAAAACTAGGAATAGATTTTTATCTCTGCAAATAGACTTATTTCTGGAATAAAATATAAAATATAAAATCCATTGCAGTAGCTAACATTTTAAATTTCTGAATAAGTAATATAATTTAGAAACTTTTTTTTTTATTTAATTGTAATTGTACTTTGCAACTGTATTTAGTAATATGTAATACCTTAAATCATTGAATTTGCTTATTCCATCCTTTTCATTTTTATTTTATTTTTCTAGTTTGAGAAGTTTATCTATCGTATCGAATCTCCCGGTAGTACAAAGATGGTCAACTAATGTGGGTTCTTTTGAATTAAATCGTTTCAGTTTAATTATTAAGATAAATTTTCTTGTTTAACTTCTTTTTTTTATGTGAAACAAATTAGTATTCTAGGGTTACAATAATGTAAAATGTTAAAAATTGTGTTGATTTTTATTCGTAACACAGAAGCTTGCTTATGCATGGTATGCAGTATTGAGAATACAAAATATATGAAATTCGGTTAAAAGAAAAAAAATATATTCCTGTATAATTTTCCTAATTTCTGATATATATAAAAAATGGATTGCAGTAATTTACATTTTTTATATTACATTTTTTATTAGATTTTTCTAAAATTTATTTATTTATTGGTGATTGTATTTTGTAACCACAGTTTTCTTTTAGCGATTTATAATACATATTATCTTTTGTTATTCTATTACATGCTTAAAAATAAATAATAGGTGTAATATTCATATATTTATTGCCTTATTTCGTCTTCGTTTCTAGTTTATAACAAATCATATGAAGGATTTATTTGACAATATCGATAAAGTCTGATGTCGAAATAGTAAATAGTTTCATTCTCCATATTAAATGTAATTTTTATTAAGATGTTTAAATTAAGGGCTATATTAATATTATAGATATTAGGCGATAAGAAGTTACAAACGTTATAAAATAATTATAGAACGTATGAATTATTTTGAAAATGGGTTAGCAATCCGAACGAAAAAAGGCAATAAATAAAATAAGGCCTTTTTATTATTTTTAATCAAAACTCTAAAACAAAATAAGATTTTCTTCTTTAAAACACCCAAAAAAGTATTATGCAATTCTTCCATACCATATAAAAATAGGGAAATAATTAAATAGAAAACCTGTAGAGAAGAAAAGATTCGAAATCTTAAATTCTGTCAACTAAAAAATAAATAAAATAACTATTAAGAAGAAAAATGTTCAAAAATAATACGTTAATGGCATTAATTAATAAATTAATGACATCTAAAGAACAAAACAAAACCAAAATTAAATATGAAAAATTAAATTATTATTTTAAATTGGGTATATAACTTTTTTTTCAAACACATAAGTATAAAAAAAAATTAATTTGATTTGGTAAATCAAAGAAGAAGACAAATCATGACACTACTTAATAATTTATCTCGAATTGAAGACAAGGATGGTTGGAGTAACCAGTCAAATTGAAAGAGTAAAAAATAAATAATTGTATAATATTTACATTCGCCTACGTTTTGGCCCTATGTTCAGGCCTTCATCAGAGCTGGGAAAAGAACTAGATAACAATAGGTATAGTAACATTGAATAATACAGAATTATGATTAAAAAAGATGATAGGTATAGACTAATAATTTTTAGTAGAACAACTTAACGCAAAATGAAGTAGACAGAATGAATATTAAAGTAAAACAAATTAGGTAGAATGATAACGGTAACAGAGAACTAAGAAATAGATAATAATAACTATAACAAAGCACGGACCAATGAAATAAGCAATATAAAATATAAGGTAACATAAGAAATGAAAATGGTAATCTAGAATAAAGAATAAAACAGAGAAAAGAAATATGA